TCCAGCTTGATGTTTGCCAGTGATGCAGCTTTCATATTCATTGTGGAACTAGGTTTTATGCTAATCATCAATCAACTTATTCAGAGGGTTCGACTATTGGCAGATACAGCCATCTCTTCAGGACACTTCCATTCGTATAAAGGCGAGTTTCCCGGAGGTTTCATATTTCCCATCGAGCAATACTTAGCGTAAAGTTTCTCCCCAAACAGAAGTTAGAGAGACGAATATACCCTATAACTACTTGCTTCTAGAAGAGAGATATGATAACATTGGTTAGAATGTTTTATCTGAATGGTAGTTGATCTTCGTGGGGCTTTGAAAACAGTCAAGTGTGAGTTTAGTTTCTGACCGAACATTATATTTCAGGTGCAGTCGGATCCCGAAAGGCTAAGCCACGTGAGACCCAAATTGCTTGTTGAAACTTACCATGGGAACGTAGCAGCACCTCGAGCTAGGAATAAGACTCAGCACAGGCCTACCGGTATCAAAGCGTGGAACTTCCTTAAGAAGACTAGATTACTATCAGAACAAACCATCTAGTACCAGATGATCTCTCTCTTCTGGAATAAATTCGGGTAGCAGTTCAACACTAAGGAGGACACAACTAACCCGCTTATCAAACAAGTGACCATTTGGAGAAAAAACCAAATAGCTCCAAAACCCATTTTTCTCAACTTTGATTGTACGTTGTAACACTGGTGACGGATACATCTCAAAAAATAATTAAGCCTGATGAGAATGCAAGTGAGTCTTTGGACGATTTTGTGATCGGTTTGTGAGTACCATTCACGTTTGCGTTAAACCTTTGGATGCCATTGATTTACATACAATTAATGGAATACGTACACCTGATGACACTTAAAACAATCCAGTGTTTAAGAGAATATAGAGTTTTGAGAGCGTCTGGGCGATTTTAACTAAAAAAACTAGAGAATACGGATTTATCGATCACCGTTATCTTGCCCACATCTAGTGCGAAGAGAATTCCTAACTTCTTGTGATGAAAGACCAACTCATGGCCTGTATAAGTCTGAACAACTCGAGGCGCTGGCTTATTATTCTTACTCTGTGGCTCACACGACATCTTTCTAAGACTTTGAACTGACAATTAAAGTGAGCTGCGTTGGTGAGGTGAAGGACGAATCGTTGGGAAACTCTGAACCTCATATGGGATATAAGACAAGACCGGTCATTCAGAAATCAAGCAATTTTTCTAGTTGATACATGAAAGTGAAAGGATATATGCCTGTCTCCAAATGCTATACTCAAATAAACGGGATCCAGCTAAATTGCAACACGTTTGTTTGTGCCTCTTGCGGAACATAGGAGAACTTACAGCAAGAGCCGTGGGCTCACAGAACACTTCCAGATTCAGCGTTTAGCTGTAAGCTACTTTACGTCACCCCTGTAAATAAGCTCATTGTTTTTTTAAGTCAAATCTGATGTAATTTGAAGTGACCAGGTTAGTTCTGTCTGCCATATTGATGATGATGTTGAACTCAGCTAGGCCTCAATTCTGGTAAATTATGACTGTGCGTTATAATAGCACCCACGATTCGTCGATCATCAGCGGCTTAATTGTACTGTCTATGATAAAGTAAACTGCAAAAAAGTCTGGTTGATTTGCGGGATACAGATATCGTGCACGAATATTGTCTCTAGGTCATTTCTTTCCTTTCTTCTTATCAAAAGTGCGGGCAAGGATAGAAGAGTAGAATGACAGTGGACCCAGAAGACACATTTGCGAAAGATTCATCCGATCCTCCCTTGTAAAAGTCATTGAACCACTTTGCCTTAGTCAGTGCGACTCAGATCTGAGCTCTAACAATAAACCATTCCTCACAAAAGTCGTAAATGACTTTCACCTTAAACCATTCAGGAGCGTTTAGCCACTCTTCACGCTGAGCACAAAAACTGGTTGTGGAAACCGATTTTACCTACTGACAGTCCCGGACCACATTTGATGGGCTGGTTCCCGTGAATATCGCCCAATCCGAATGGTTCGAATCGGCACGATAACAAGGAAACAGTCTTTGCGAGCATCCGTCAACAATGTTCGTAGTCCATAGGAAACCTGAGGGTATACCACTCAGCGTCAATGTCGGTGGAAAATATGAATTCAGTACCAACGGAAAGACTACTGGTATAAACGTACCTTACTGTATTATAATGGATTGGTTATGTTCCGACCACACAAAGCCTACATTGCTTTTTGAGCGAAGGAATTAGTGAAACAGTGGATAATGAATACTTCAGTTGAACTTCATAGTCGATAACTAAACTATCTATCTATCTATCTATCTATCTATCTATCTATCTATCTATCTATCTATCTATCTATCTATCTATCTATCTATCTATCTATCTATCTATCTATCTATCTATCTATCTATCTATCTATCTATCTATCTATCTATCTATCTATCTATCTATCTATCTATCTATCTATCTATCTATCTATCTATCTATCTATCTATCTATCTATCTATCTATCTATCTATCTATCTATCTATCTATCTATCTATCTATCTATCTATCTATCTATCTATCTATCTATCTATCTATCTATCTATCTATCTATCTATCTATCTAGCTAGCTAGCTAGCTAGCTAGCTAGCTAGCTAGCTAGCTAGCTAGCTAGCTAGCTAGCTAGCTAGCTAGCTAGCTAGCTAGCTAGCTAGCTAGCTAGCTAGCTAGCTAGCTAGCTAGCTAGCTAGCTAGCTAACTTGTGAGCGGAAGTGCGTTGCTGCGACTTTCGTTGTTGACTGAATAGCATGGAGGAATGTGAAGGATCTCAAAGCCCCTGTTCAAAAGTCAGTATATGTTTGACCTTTCCAACCATATAACCAGGTGACTGGCCGAACAAGGGTTTTTTTATATAACTGAGTAGAAATTTGAGCAACTGATGAGTGAAGGTACATAACGAAAGAATGCGGTTGTAAGATCCTAGTTTTCCTCTTCAGATTAGCCTGTATCATCAGTCCCAACACAGTGTCGAATATGATGCTGGGTTAACAGATGAGAAAGTTGTCAGTGGGGAACAGATGACCAAAAAAGCGGAATATACAACGGCCATAAAATCCTAGCCCACCCCATACGAGACAAAATCGGTCTTACGTGACCTGCCTGGTGTGTGAGACAGGGATTAGCCTAAATCGATTCAACATGCCTCATTTCTCCAACAAGACCGTCTTTTCAACATAGGAGTTGTCCATCTGTTATGAGTGTCCCAGTGAGTAGAATGTAAATACAGTTCTTCAATAATGCACTCACATATGGCCCTCTGTTTGTAACGTCTAAGTAGACCACCATATATTATATCCCAAAGCACTATTTGATGAACAGTCTTCCATCATATTTTCTGTAGTAATAGTTTGGTCTCTTGAGGGATTCCGGTAGATGTCAACTGATTCTGTGATAACGTGCCTACAAATTGGCAATCAAGTAAGAAATAAGCTTGAAAGAAATTGATGGACTAGGCCTCTACCCCAAGAAGGACGAGATCTGGGTAGGGTGTCCAGAAACTTCAGTGACCTTGTGAGCAGCTTTGAAAGTAAGACTATTGCTTTCGGCACCAGGGTACTTTTGGTACATTAGCGAACAAATGGGTATAATTGATGTCGAGTTTACTACCTCAAGTGAGCGTTGGTACTAAGTGGCTTTAATTCAGAATCATATTTCAGCTCATAATGACCACCTGTAGTGGTCATTATGTAGTAGTGGTCTCACCAGCTTAACCAACAGATCCGTATTGAACACCAGCCAACGATCGGAAACGTGTGAACGTGGAGAGATATTGGGATACCATATCAACGCCTCTTAATGCCTCGTGATTCATGATCATTCAGTACTCATTCACCAGTAAGCAGGCGAATCTGTGTGCAGTCTATCTGTCACTTCAGTTGTTCATACTAAACTGTCACATGTCTTGTTCAAAGAGGTTAGTAGTGTCTATTCTGACTGACGATCTGCCTGATGCATCACAATTAAGGTGATAAATGAGAGCGGGGTGTGACAAGGAAGTCACTTGCTGGTAAATATGTTTCGAGGGTATGGGTCTCATACACAGATGTAGTTGAAAGAGCAATAAAGGCTTATTCAGAGGAAACCGAATTTGTGAAGCACGTAGATGAAAGCATTCTAGTTGCTATTCAGTGAAAATAGTAAAGTTAGTGTACAAAACGCACAGCTAAGTGGAAGAAACACGTCTATCTCATCCTCTCTTACCCAGAGGAGCAAACGTGAAACTGTCATACATAAGGTTTAGATAAGTGTTGAGGACTAAAAGTTGCTGAAGATTTATTCCCTTCCCCGTCATCAGCTTGCATGTGAGAGACAATGTGCCAAAAACTGCGTGAACTCTTATGTTGTTTTTCGTTCAGTGGGGCGTTTTTCAAAAACAATAGCCTCATTTTTTCACCAGTAGTTTGGACAACTGAGATTTCGCGTCGACGGTGAATTTGTGGGTTAGTGCATAAAGGACGAAAGGTGTGTTTAACGTATGAAAAAGCAAACTGAGGTTATATCCACAAAAAACCTTCTACAAGTTGGTGGTTCAGTTCCACCTTTTCGCTCCATCACTTACCACTCTATTCCAGCTCTTTAGGAATACATAATCGGGTTACTCGAACTTCGGCTCCCAGAGCCAACCCACTGATCATAAATTCAGATCTCAGTGCTGGTTTAAAATAGGATATTCGGGTGCCTGATTTTGACCTAACATCCTAAAACGGTATGTTGGCTTCACATTGTGTGTTTGCAATTTATCAATGGGACTTTTTATGAATATGTATACCACTCTCTTATATTTTTTTTTGTTTTTCGGGGCCGCCTGCCCGAATTCCCATGCAGCTATCCTCATATTCCAGAGGTTTTAATCCTGTCTAAACAAAACCAAGCTAACAACCAAAGAAGACATTTTGTTTAAAAAACGCCGAATAACATACCTGATGATGGAGGCTAATAATTCCTCTGGTCAGTATCGGTATGCACAATCTTACCCATGTCTTCTAAGAGTTGACTGAGGTTTGTCAAGTAAGGATTTCTTCCGAAGTCATTGGTATAGGCAATTCGGTTTACGTGTAGTCAACTCCCGATGTCAAGTAATCCGTCCGTTATTTTGCATCCATGCAAGATGGAGGTCCGATGGGTTGTGATGAGGTCACTATGAAATCCTTTATAGAGAGAAACGTATGAGAAGGGTTGGGGCCCAAAAGGGCAAGTTCTTCTGATAGTATGTATTCGAACAATCCAGTCGCATTGAGGTCGAGCTCTTGCCCTCCCTGGGCACATGTTCCAGTGACGTTGCGTCTGCCGTAACTGGTTCGTCGTACCCAAGTGACGTCGCCTTGTGTTGTGCGCACACGGTTGAAGCCGACTTCGAGCTGAGGCTATTTTTAGCCTATTCACTGTCCCTTGCTTCCCTGGTCTACCGGTAAGTGTGTCTGTTTTTGTGTGTCTTCTCCCAATGCGCCCGTGGGTGTGGTATATGCGCAGCGCGTTTGTCTACAGACGTCTAACGATGTGCGTGCATGGCGGTAATTTTATTTGCTTTTCCCGGTCTGGATCCATTATGTCTCACTACGATATGTCTGTACGGCATTCTTTGTCAGATCGAGTTGGGGCACGTGCCCCTGCCGGTGTGGATGGCCCATTTCCACTACCAAATCATCCTCGTCAGGAGGTCAGCGGGATGGGGAGGTGTGTGCGCACGCACTGCGTGCTCATTGTGCACACAGCTTGTGCTCAGTGCGTTACCTTTTGCCGCAATTCGTTGCGCCATAAAGCCATTTTAGGGGGGCTGAGTCCAATGAATCGGAAATTCGTCGTCGTGAACCACCAGATCTCACGCAAAATGTACACAACTGTTGTTGTATGTACGTAATAGCTGTTAGTAAAATGCACACATTTGGAAATCATTTTGATATTAGCGTCACACGCAACCGAACCAGTCATTTATGTTGGTCCTCAACTGAATATGCCACATAAAGACCGCCTCAGGCTTCAGTTACCAGTATTTTGAAACACCATAGTATATTTTCTAGGCAGGAGGGCACACTACTTACTAGATTACTGAAAACTAGCCAACAACCACTGTCAGTTGAGCTCTTCCTTGATCTCACCAGTTAGGCTTGGTCTCCGAGCTTCTATCAAGGGTGTTTCTGCAACCCTATAAGTAGTTTGTTTGTAAACTAGCTATACTGCGAACTCGCCATCACTGTCCTATCTGAAACATGGGACAACCTCTGTGTGGCATGTTCAGTTGGATAACAGCATAAAAGAGAGATTTAATTTGATTTCTCGTAAAGACAAAAGTAGTTTACAGGTGAGCGTCTTTCTCCAAATTGAGTACAATTCGATATTCAGTTGGACAGTAAATTTTAGGGAGGTTCGGGACGGCACCGAGGGAGAATTCACGAACGACGGAATTGGGAGTCGGAATTGGCGAGATTCGCGGGTTCCCGAATCGGTTCTAGATAATAGCCGAATTTGTGGTGGCTACTTTCGCGCCGGGCCAGTGACGAGTTAATGGATGCCAAAAGCAGCACTGTTTTACAATCATATTCAGTTCTAAATGAACCTAACCCATCCCAGTGGAGTATAGGCGCACATATTCATCCGCCGTGAATGTGGTGGGCGTTTCCCACTAGGCCTAAATAAGTGGTCGCGTAAGTTTCAGGTAGACATTATTCTGATGAGTTAACGCTTGCTGGATCCCAGCGTTCGTTTCCTGAAAGCTACTAAAAATCTCTCAGTGGCCCATGTCATCTCCAAGTCTGCTTGCGTTTGTGGCAGTGTCCTGCTGCGTTTATTGATCGGAAATTCCGCATTTCGTAGTTAACAACTGTTTTGTCCGCATGAGGGTAGTGAATAAGTAGCAAGTAGTAGTAATGTAACGGTGATACTAATGATGGGTGTGCATGCATCATCATCATCATCGACAACATGACATGTTCAATACGATGCTTCACTGCCGTACAACCATGACTTATTTGAAAGCCTTACTGTGAAGAAAAGAATAAAGGTGGACGGGGAGGGACTTTGTGCTAGCTTACCACAATCATTCCGAGGTGCCTACACCTCCACACATTCACTGAAGCAATCTAGATAGAAACTGACTGTACTTTCTTCCCCCCAGTCAAACTCTTCTCTTATCTGCTGCTGTCTGCTACGTCTACCCCATGGACTCTATTTACATTTTTTAACCCCTCACGAACTTTAACCCTTGGTTTGTCGAACCAGTTTGGTCGGCCATTCTTTACGCGGGTTTTTTGACCTATTTGCGTTACCACATGTTGTACCCAGGTGTGCGTCGCAAACTAAGATCGATTTACTATCTTCTCCGGGCTTTCCTTGGACTTGCACCACTTCGTGCAACAGTTTAGACGGAAACCCCCATAATTTGAGGTTTGTACCCCTTTTATTGCGTATTTTATACATGTAGTACCGCATCTTTTGATAAATCTCAAGGATCAACAATTTCTGGCTTGTGATCTTGCGCGTCACTCAAGTGGGCTCTCCTGAATACCTCGAAGTATTCTACACTGACAACAAGAACACCACTGACATCGGTTGGCAGTCATATCTTGTAGTGTCTCCAACCAGGCTTTCTAAATGCCTCGTTACGGATTCGCCGACGCCAAATCACACGAGCTATGGTTCTGAGACAACGATTGTCGAACACCTGAAGACGTCTCAGGTCCGCTGCTCGAATAGGCCAAGTCTCACAGCCAAACAACAAAACAATCCTTACTGTAGCTTGATACACACGTCCCTTCAGATTCAGGGGTAAACCATTCTGACGCCATAGGTGTCTCAAGTTAGCAAACGCGGCCCGAGCCTTGCAGATTCGTGCATTCACCTCATCTGTCACACTACAATCAGAACTAATACAACTTCCAAGATACGTAAAACGCTCCACAACTTCCAGTGCGTCTCCCTGGATTATAAGTGGCGTGTTCAGTGACTGCACGTCCACAAGCATGACCTTACACTTTGTGGGTGCAAAGTGCATACCAAAGGACGGGATGACTTTGGTCAGTTCATCCAAGAATACTTGCGCCTTTTCCTCCTCTTCGAACATGAGAACGATGTCGTCTGCATATTCCAGATCGACAAGGTTTTCTCCACAGGCTATTTGAATACCAGGGTTTTGGAGACCCTCCAGCGTTCGTCTCATTATTTCATCGACCGCAAAGTTAAAAAGGAATGGAGAGAGTGGGCATCCCTGACGGACACCGCATGGGGGCGGAAGCTTCTGGAGAGCTCTCCGTACACTCTCACACGTCCGGAAGTCTGAGAATACAAAGAAAGGATT